ATACTCATGTAAACTAGCAAAAATAAGTGAACTGGGGAGACAGGGCTTACAGTCCAACCTAGTCAAAAATAGTCAAGTTAGAGGTACTTGGCTGTAGTCACACAGCTGGAAAAATGGAGGAAAACGGGCAAACCTTGTTCTTTCTGACTAGAAATTCTATTTTTTCAGGCCTCTTGGTGCAGACGTTTCAGTGGTTGCTGTATGTATGATGTTATGCATACATCACTTGTCCCGCCTGCTGTGTGGACTTTACTCTCCCATTTCCATAACTTTTCCTCTACTTACTTTAAGCACCACATTAGACAGTGTTATACCTGTTGCTTCAGTCATTAAACACCATATAGAAAACTTGAGAAGAAAAAAAGCCTATTTACCCACATTTTTACTCTTTCAATTGCTCTCTCTTCTTCCTGGTATTCCAAGAGTCCTTTTATCATTTTGAGTAGGAAAAGCCCAGCCCTTCGTGTCTCTCACTGTACCTCACTCACACTTCTGACACCAGATGTGGGGGGTTGACTGACCTCCACGAAGCAGTTATCTCCAATACCAGCTGAGTGTCCTACAGTTAACTCAGTTCTGACACTGTTTGCCTGGAGATGGCGTCAGATCCCACCAGTTTAGGCTCATTGCCACAACACTGCCTCCCCAACTTCAGATGCCAGTCTTACTTGTTGCCACCCGTGTTTCTGATTGGCTGTAAATCATGCTCCCATGAACCCCTTCACTAGGTTCCATTAATTTGCTAGAGCAGCTCACAGAGCTGAGGAACTTATATTTACAGTTTGTGTAAAAGGATGTGATGAAGGATACGGTGGATATCCAGATGGAAGAGGCGTGTGCCAGGGGCACAGAGCTTCCACACCCTGTCTGGGTGCTGCTCTCCCCGCACCTCCACGTGTGCACCAATTCAGAAGCTGCCCGAACTCCATATTTGGGACTTTATGGAGCTCATTCACAGAGACGTGATCCATCACTAACTCCATTTCCAGCCCCTCCCCTCTCTGGAGAATCAGGGACGGGGCTGAAAATCCCAAGCTTCTAATCACGGTTGGTCTTTCTGGTGACCAGCCCCCATCCGGGAGCCACCCAGTGTCACCTCACTAGAACAAAAGACACTGCTGTCACCCAGGAAATTATAGGTTTTTCAGAAGCCCTGTGCCCTGGCCAGGGCAGAGACCAATCTGTATTTTCTATTATCTCACGTTTCCTTCCTGCCTCAAGAACTTCTTTGCTATTCTTTTAGGACATGTCTACTGGCAACAACAAGTTTTCCTTTATCTGAGATGTCTTCTCTCTCATTCCTAAAGAATAATTTCACTGGATAGAGAATTCAAGTTCTTTTTTGGCAACACTCAAGAAATGTGCCACTTCCCTCTGGCCTCCACGGTTTCTGGTGACAAATCTGCTTTCATTTGACTTGTTTTCTCCTTACAGACAAGGCATTGTTTTTCTCTCTGCTTTCAAGAATTTTTCTGTGTTTGGCTTTCTGAAGTCTGATGACACTATTCGTATGTCTCGGTTTGCATTTCTTTCCATTTATTCTGTTTGGGGTTTGCTCAGCTTCTTGAATCCTGTTTATCTCTTTTGCCAAACTTGGGAAATTTTCTCCCATTATTTCTCTTTAACCGGCAGTTTTTAGTATATTTCTATTCCCAGAGTTATGCAACCATTACTACAATCAATTTAAGAAATTGTATTACCCTGGTAAGAAACTCTGTACCTGCTAACAGTCACTCCCATTATCCACTTCCTAGCCCCTGGTAACCACCGATCTACCCTATGGATCTGCTGTTCTGGACATTTCGTACAGGTGGAATCATGCAGCATGGCCTTGGTGCCCGACTACTCATGGAGCGTGACGCTTTCAAGAGTCATCCATGTGGTGGCATGAGTCAGTACTTCATTTTTTTATTGCCAAATTATAGTTCATTGTGTGAGTGTTTATCCATCATCAGGTGGTAGACGTGGGTTGTTTCCACGTTTTAGCTCTTACGAATAGGGCCGCTGTGAACATTTATGGACAAGATTTTGTGTGGACATGTTTTCTTTGGGGCATGTACCTAGGAGTGGAGTTGCTGGGTCACATGGTAATGCTGTGATTAGCTTTGTGAGGAGCTGCCTGGCTGTTTCCCGTAGTGGCTGCACCGTTTTATATGCTCACGAGCCACATAAGGGCTTCTCCACCTCCTCATCAGCATTTGTTGGTCTTTCAGTGGTAGCTGTGAAGTCATGTTGCCTTGTGGTTGGGTTTGCATCTCCCTGATCACAGTGATGTTGAGCATCTGTTCATGGGCTTATTGGCCATGTGTGTTTGTTCTTTAAAAAGCTATCCAGATTCTTTGCCCACTTAAATAATTGGGTTATTTGTGTTTGTATTGAGTGTAATAGTTCTTTATAAATTCTAGGTACAGGCCCCCTACAGACATATAACTTGCAAAAGTTTTCTTCCATTCTGTGAGGTATGTTATTTTTTATTTCTTTGGATATGTTTTCACCCCCACCACATCCTCCTCCTAGGATGTCAATGGCACAAATATTAGATCTTTTGTCATCGTCGCACACGACTCTGAGGCTCTGTTAATTTCTTTCTTTTCTTTTTTTTTTAGCTGAGCCATCCTGCCACCTGTTGGCAGCTCAGCTTGGGCCAGGAATCGAACCGCTGTTTCTCAGAGCTCAAACTCGAGCGAGCTCTTAACCAACTGAGCCACTCCGCCGGCCTGGGGCTCTGTTAATTTCTTCCTGGCCTGCTTGCTGTCTGTGGTTGAGACTGGGCCATGTCTACTGCATTATCCCCAGAGCCACTGAGTCTCTCATCTTTCCTCTCCATTCAGTATTTTTATTTTGGCTGTTGTGTGTTTCAGTTCTAAACTTGTCATTTTCTTCTTTTATCTTCCATTTATTTGCTGAGATTTTTTTTGTTTGTTTCCAGCATGTTTGTAATGGAGCATATTACAAACAAATATGTTTGTTTGGAGCATATTTATGGCGGCTGCTTTAAAATCTTTATTGTAGGATTCCGATACCTGTGCCATCTCCGTGTTGGCATCCTTTGTCTTTTCACACTCAAGTTGAAAATTTCATGATTTTTGGTGTGACGAGTGATTTTTGCTGTCTCCTGGTCATTTTCAGGAAATTGTGATGAAATTCAGGGTGTTTTTAATCTCCTGTAGCAAGCCTCTTGGCTGTGCGGGGGCGGGATGGGGGTGCTGCCTCAGTACTGCCGGGGGGACTGGAAATCCAGGCTCCCTCTTTAGTCTCCATGTCTGCCTGTGAGATGGAGCACTATGGGACAGACACTGTCAGGATGGTCCTCAGCCTGTAGCATCAGATGAGGATGGGCCACGTTTTTTCTATGATACTTGGCTTGAGTAAGGAAGGTAGTTATTGTCCAAAACTTTTCTGTCTTGGTAGGTTACCATCCCTCCTTACATGTCTAAGAAATACCAAGACATTGAACTTCAGACAACAAAGGACAGTGACCACTTAGAAATGGGAAACCAGTAAAACACCTCCACTTACTATCTGGAGAAAGTCCACAGCTCTGGGCAGGGTCATCTTGTCAGGACCTGGTGGTCCCCCTGGGTTGAGGAGATGGGGTTGAAAGTCAAGGGCAATCCAGGTGGCTGAAGTTCATAGGGAGAATTCCTTAGAGGAGAGAGCTGCCCAGCACGGGAATGGAGGTCTGCAGAGGGTCCATAAGTATTCAGTTGTGTGACACACAACTACCCAAGGCCAGGGAAAGACCCATCCAAAAGGTTTTGGGTATGGTGTTCAGAGCTGGAAATCATGCCTGCTTTCAACAGCCATCATGGAGAACCTCGTTATTCATGTGGCATTGGAAGCGTAGTGAGAGGACTGCTGCTCCAATAGTGGAAGAACTCACCCCATACTAGGCCTACCTCTGGTCCCAACTCACAGGCCTTAAAGCAAGAGCCAACCAGAATACAGCTGTTTGCAAGTAGCTGTGTTCCAGAACAAAGCTCAAGGATAACTGTAAGAATACAAAAATTGTCTGACAGCTGGCGAGGTACAAGTTACAGTGGCTGGCCTCTGAAAAAAAATCACCAGGGATGCAAAGAATCATGACAGTAAAACTCATAACGAAAGGAAACCAGCCAACTAAAACTGACCCAAAAATAACACTGTAATCGAATTAGTAAACAAGATCATTGGAACAAATTAGTAGACAAGGATTGTATTCCCTATGTTAAAAAAACTAGAGGAAAAAGCTAAACATGTCTTAACATGGAAAACAAAAATATGCAAATCAAACTTCTAGAGGTGAAAAATACACTGGATGTGGTTAGCTGCAGATTGGACACTGCCGAAGACGCGTGAACTTGAAGACATAGCTATGAAAGAAACACCCAAATTAAACAGGGAACCCACTGAGGAAGGAAGGGCCAATGGTGTCCGCTGTGGCAGCGGCAGAAGAAGGGTGTTGCATGTCCCCTTGGTCCCAGTGCTGATGTGGAGACCCCGAGGGAACCAAGCTACACAAATCAGGACACAAAACCCACACGTCCCCAAGAAAGGAAGGGGTCTTTTTATCCATGTGTCCTGACCACGTGCTGAATGCCGGCTCCTGCAGCCACATCTGTTCTTTCTCATGGGAGTTCTGTCTGGGAAATAACTTATCTGGGCTCAAAGAGAGGGGAGCTTGCTTAAGCTAGTTAGGGACTCCTCAAGACGGGATGGGGGGGTTTTGTCCCACCCCAGCAGAGAAGTTTCGGGACAGGAAAGTGGGGCATCCTGTGTTTGAAACAGCACCACTGAGGCCTTCACAGATTTACAAGGGCCTCCTGCTCATACAAGCATGAGCTGGAGCTGTAGTCCCTTTAAGCCGAAAGGTGAGCGAATGGGGCAGCTGAGCCCCTGCACTCAGCCAGGCCTCAGGGCTGGGGCGGGGGGTAGGGGGGAACATGGAGGAGGCACTTAGCCACGGGACACTCATGCAGGATGACTCCAGGCCTAGCTCGGCCACACAGCAGGGCCTCTGGTGAACACGACTGTCCAAGAACCTGCTTCCTCATCTGCAGCGGAAATGACAAGAGACCCACCTAGGAGGATGGTCGTGAGGTGGCAGCAAAGAACATGTGGGGAGCTCTTAGCTTCAGTCACACTGAGAGGGACGCCGGTGACTGGGGACCTTGTGCAACAGGAGGGAACAAAACTGAGCTAACTCGATTACAAAGTGGGCAGGATGGGACTGATGCTGACCTCAGGACATCTCTCTCCCGCCTCCGTCACCCCTCTTCCCCCACCTTCCTGCCTAGTGAGGCCACAAGCGCCTGCCCCTTCTGTTACTGTGGGGTGGGGGAGGGCTGTGCCAGGGCATGGAGGGCACCCTGGGGGGGATCCCCAAAAGGGTCAATCACCTTTACCTGTTAGCACCAAAGGCAGGGAAACTGTCTGACTCAGGGAAGTGGGGTGAAGGGCAGGGCAGCCTTATCAGGGCATCTGGCCACCCGGGCCTGCTCGCTGGGCACATAGTCTCGGCATGCATTCCTGTCATTGTTTGCCCAGGGCAGGGCCCAGGCGGAGACTGGAGGCCCCAGCCCCTCTTTTAGAAGTTAAAGTTCCGTGGGAATATGCTGTCCGCCCACCTGCCCTTCCCTGCTGGCCAGCCCTTCCTGGTCTGGGTGATAGGTGGGGCTCATGGGTCCCTTGGGGCCAGTTCACTTCCTTCTCCCGCTGCCACTTACCATCCAGGGAGCTGTGGAGAGCCCCTCTGTCCGCCTAGCCTTGCTCTGTCCTGTTGGGATGGGGATGGGCGAGCCCATGCAGAGAGCTGGGCAGCCAGGTGGGGTATGGATAGGCAGGGCACCCAGGAGCAGGAGGCAGCTGGGGGTGGGGCGCTCCCTGGAGGGCGTGGCCTGCCAGGTGGGCAGGGTTTAGGCTGGGGGATGACATCGTCACCACCGTCACCATTGTCACCACCGACATTCATAGTACAATTTAGGAAGAGTGTGCAGGTGATTGGTGCACGTGATGCTCAGGACTGCCATGCCCCTCACTTCAGCCAATGGTGGGTGCATGTCCTGTGTGACCTACAAGATTGTCAACAGTTCTAGCCCCAGAAACTGAAGGCTTCCCAGGGGGCCACAGAGCCTGGGCACTATGTTCCCACCCTGTCATGTCATTTATCCGCCTCAGTGACAATGGCAGAAAGTGGGGTATCGTAAAAGTGGACATAATACCCTCCAGGTCCTTCCATGTCGCAAATGGCAAGACATCCTTTTTGTGGCTGAGTGATATTCCATTGAACATGTGTGCCACATCTGTCCATTCATCCATAATGCTGCAGTGAGCATGGGGTACACACACCCCTTTGGGAGAGTGGTTTCCTTACACCAAGTGAGATAAGTCAGACAGAGAAAGACAAATATTTGTGATCTCACCTATATGTGGATTCAAAAAAACCCACAAACTCACAAAAACAGACCAGATTGGTGGTTGCCAGAGCATGGTGGGGGAGCAAAATGAGTTAAGGAGCCAATTTTAAGGCACAAAATTCCAGTTATAAATAAGTCCTGGGTATGTAACATACAGCATGGTGACTAGTTAATAATATTGGATTGTGTATTTAAAAGTTGTTAAAGTAAATCTGAACGGTTCTTGTTACAAGGAACAAAAATGTGTAACCACGTGCGGTGATGGATGGTAACCAGACTTTTGGTGACCATTTCGCCGTATATACAAATATGGAATCATTACATTGTACGCCTGAAACTTATGCAATGTTATACAGTAAGTCCCCGACTTAGGAACATTTGAGTTGCGAACTTTCACAGATACGAACGGGCCTCGCATTACGAACATTCGTAGATGTGAACAAATTGCGGAAGTAGCTCACGTGTCTGCCGGACATTGTCACAGTTGTACTGCTGTGTGCCTACTGTACAGTGCGATAGTGTACAGTAGTACAGTGCTCAATCAGAGCCCAGGATGTCCGGAAGCAGTGGTGACGTGGAAGGGACTGCTAGGAAGCATCAAAGGTGTATAAGACTCACTTTGTCAGACTTATGAACAAATCTGACTTACGAATGTTCTCACGGAATGGAACTCGTTCGTAAATTGGAGACTTACTGTATGACAATTACATTAATAAAACTGGAAAAAGAAGAGGAGGGCATCAGGGGCAGGAGTCAAGGGACACTGGCCGCAGAGGGTGCCAGGAACCCCAAGGCTGGGTGCTCTGGGTGCCTCTTGGGCCTCCTGTCCTTCGCCTGTAACCTCCCCAATCCCACCCAGCACTGCTGTCTCTGGGGTTGGGGGTGTGAGGCTCCTCACACTGGGGCAACCTAGGGCATGGAAGGGTCTGGTTGGAGGACCCCAACCGACTCAGGCCCTCACTTAGTGGTCAGAGGGCTCTCATGGACGTGGCCTTTTTCCCAAGGGACTGAAGTTTGGTTTACTAAAGGGGCTATTTTAAAGTGTGTCACAGCCTAGTAAATGTCCTGTTCTGTGGGGAAAAGCAAAACCACCCATCCAAGTTCATGGCAATGTCAGGAACATGATTACTGAACAAACACACTGTGAATTACCATCATCTGCCTGGGTTGGAAACTTAAGGATCATTCTAGACCCTTACCTCCTTCATTCTCATCATTCCTCAGCCTTCTTCTGTCCCAGGGGCTTCCCTGAGCCAAGTCCAGAATATTCCCAACAACATATGAATGTCCCCATCCTGCCGGCAAAGGCACCTGGGCCGAGCGTGAAGCCACACCTGGGCTGGCTCAGGGCTCCAGGCTCTTGGCCACTCACTTCCACTGTCGCAGTCCCACCTCCCCTGTCCAGCCTATCTGTCCGCCCCACTGCTGCTGCCCAGACCCTCAGTCTCACCTGGACAGCTACCGCTGTCCAACAGGTGTGCCCTGCAGATGCCCCTTGGGTACAAGCCAGGTTGCAGCCTCACTCTCAGTGGGATACCCTGGCCCTCACAGCCTCCTGGGACCTCCACCCTACCTGGGCTGGGCCAGCTCCCTGGCTCTGCCTCATAGCCCTCCCCACGTTCTTTGTCTGACAAAGTCCCCTCATCTCAGACACACCCCTCAGGCAGCTTGGGCTTCTGGCTGGATTGCCCTGACACTCCTCATGTGCCATCTGAAACCTGCAATATCACCAGTCAGTGTGGTGGGTATGAAGGTCTTCCTTGGCATGTCTGTGGACCCTGTTCCCAGAGGGAACACATGTGGCACATGACAGGTAACGGGGAGGGGGGGAAGAGGGCACTCTAGAGTCAGACCTGTGGAACTGGAATCACACCCACTTGCTGTGTGACCTTGGGTAAATCATTTAACCTTTCTGTGCCTAGATGCTCCAACCAAGTGGTATGCACCGCATATGGTGGTCACGAGAACTGAGTGAGAAGTGACGCACTCGCAGCAGCCCTGGGCACCCAGTGTCATCAGAAGGCTTCTCCCCTTCAGGCCCTGGCATCTGCCTCCTAGAGGCTCTTGTTGACCATGTGCTGGCTAAAGAAAGTTCTGGAAACTGAGCACCCTGCAGTTGTCAAACCTCCTAAGGTGCCATCTATATAGCCTGGCACTGCGACTGTTCCCACGTCAAAAGTGAGGGATGAGGGCCGGCCGACTGGCACGATGGTTAAGAACTGGCTTGGGATGCCAGAGGGCCCCGGTTCGGATCCCACATATGAGGGCCAGTGACACTGCCCTCTACAGCTAAGATGCTGAACAACAGCTCAACCTGGAGCTGGGCTGCCAAGGGTCGCCGGTGACGGCGTAGGCTGCAGCCCCTGTGGCAGTGGGTTGCCATGGGCTACCGTGTGTAGCCAGCAGCCAGTGTGAGCGGCCAGCAGCCGCCGTGAGCAGCCGTCCAGAAGCCAGCGACTGATGTGCCTCGCCCGGGAAGAGTGCAATGATGGTGCCAACTTGGGCCAGTGAAGCAACGTCCTCCACAACTAGACTGAAGACCAAAACGACAGCAACTTGTCTGTTTCCCTTCCCCTAATTCCCCAGCGCTGTTCCCATCCCCCCAATTCCCCAATAAAAACCTTTAAAAAAAAGTGAGGGATGAGAGGGCCCCAGTAGGAGCCCCCACACCTGCCTGCAGCACCCCCCGCTCTTAGAGGCGGCCTCAGCTGGGGAAGATGGAGACACTGCAAAGGGCGTTGACTCACGCTGAGTGGGGAAATCACTGTAAATCTGTTTTTCCAAACTGTGTTATTGTCAGTGCCCTGGGCGGATGCCCATGTGTGCGGGGACACTCGGCAGAGCAGAGGCGCTTTGTCCCCTGAAAGGCCCCATTGTGACCCCGAGCCGGCCCGAGTGATCCCTGGAACAACAGGCCCTGTGTGGCCCCAGAGGCTGTGGGCTCGGCCTCCGGCTGGCAGTGCCCGCTGCGCTGTCCTGAAGGTCAGCGTAGGGAGGCTGTGGGCTCTGACAGTGGTGCTCTTTACAGTTTGTTCTAGAATGTCGCTGAAACCCAGCTCCTGGAAGCTGTGTTCTCGGGGACCGCCATGAGCAGAGCCAGGTCAGGGTCTATCTCATAGGACTGAACACAGAGGAAGGCCCTCCCAAGGTCCCCAGGAGGTGCCCCCAGAGCCCCCATGAAGCAAGGGGGCCACGGCCACTGAAGCCACAGGCGAGAGCCCCCACCATGCCTGGCTGGACTTGATCCACAGCTGCCTTCCGCTGCTGGCCCTCCTCTGATGACCGCGGTTTGTTCTGCACTGCGGACTTTGGCACTCGGTCATGCCGCAGACATTGGGTTCTATTTACTCACCTTCTTTACCAAGCATCAGCTGGGCTGGCTGGGCCTTTGGCTACGAGGGGCCTGTGAAGTGGAACTTGATAGCTGCCTGAACTGGCATTGTCACAACTGTAGCTCAGAGCAGCCAGCCCCTTTCAGTAAGACCTGGACCCAGCACGTGGCCTCCTGCAGACCCTGCTGGTGGTTGGGGGCTGTCCCAAATGCCCAGCTTCGTCCCCCTCTGAAGGCCTCTGTGGCCCTTGGGAGGATAACAGGATGCTATTGATGTGTAAGGTGCATACCCAGGGCCTGGCCCGAGGCGAGAGCTCCAAAGATGGTGGCAGGATGGGTCACCCAGTTGCAGATGTGGGTCCCTTGGACAGTCTTGCAGTGTTGGTGCAACCTGTCCTTTGTCCAAGTCGGGGCCGAGCAGGAATGCCTCACCTGCCCTTGGGGTGGCACCAGGTATGCCACATAGGAGGTTCTCTCCTGCCCAAGACCTAGAGGCAGAGAGGAGAGGCCACAGGAAGCTTTGGGGCCAGACACCACGCCACACCTTGAAGGACCAGTGGTCCCAGCACACAGTAGGTCCTCAGTCAATACTCATTCTTGGTATTTGGACCTGTAAACACTTCCTTTACAGCTGGACCCCAGACAGCGGAGCAATGAGGTGCATGGGGAGTGGGGGTGGGAAAGGAAAGATGGTCTGGGGAGAACGAAGCAAGGCCAGGAGACAGCTGTTCATTCCGTTAACATCCCAAGCAAATCAGATGCAAATCAAAAGCCACATGAAACTGCAAATTGTAAAAGTGACTCAGGATGGGATGGGAGGAACGAGAAAGTCTTGTGGAGACCCCCCCCCCCCACACACACACACAAAGCCTTGGGCTGGTAGGGGTTCTACAGCTGGACCTATCTGCAGTTGAAAAAGAGAAAACAAAGAAAGACTATATCATCTGGCCCCCTAAAAAATAAAAAAAAATAAAAATAAATAAGTGCATTATAACTTAACAAAAGACCATATCAAAGTTTCTCTGAAGAGGAGAAAACTTTGGAAACCTTGAGAAACCCTTGGGAAAGTCCATTAAGCCTCCCACTTCTCTTTTTTGACAGGGGCCAAGAGTGAGGCTCTACTAGCATCATGGCGCAGGCTCACTGGCACTTTTGTTCAAAAAACGAGACTTCCCTCAATCATTTGATTGCAGATTCTGTTAAACACATGACAAACTTCCTCTTCCATCTTCGTTTGCACTTGAATTTTTCAGGATAAAGCCCCAGTCAAATCACGGGCTCCTGATTTACTCTGAAGAGTTTACTTGCATTTTGTGCTCAGCGGACTCTCTAGGAGTGCTCCTTTCCTGGTGCCATTACTCTGGGATAACAAAGGACAACCGGAAGATAGCACGGAGACCCAGTGTGGGCACGGGGTCCCCAAGTTAGAAGGGGAGTAGAATCTACTAGTTGTACCTCTGCCTGATGCTTCAATCTCTGCTCTGTGTGGCCCAAGCAAGGGGTCACCCAGGCTCTGTATACGCCTGTGCCGCTAGGCACTGACCAGTGAGGCGCTGCGGCTGCTGTCCCAGCTCTGGAACGGCACTAATTTTTTCAGGCCACAGGACAAAGGAGCATTTGATGACGGGAGCTGGGCTTTCAGGAGTCCCAACTGAGTGCCCTCCTTCCTAAGTGTCCCCTGTCCTTTCAACTCAGACATCTCATACTCGAAATGTGGCACTCACCACTTGTCACCGCACTTCCTTTCTCTCTGTAGTCTGCTCCCTGTTCTCGCCTAAGGAGTCGCCTGAGGAAATTCTAAAAGCAGTTTATTATCCACATCCCTGATTGGCACAGAAGTCAGACTACGCTGTATGGAACATTTCTGATCAGCTGCACAGAGAGACTTCTGTACCTTGTTGTCTTTGGCTTACTGCCTCTAATTAATGAGCACAGACCCCTTTGTATTATAGGAAAAAGAAGGGGACCCTCCATGCTGGTGCTTGGTGAGTTTCCAGGGATGGTGAAGCGGTCCTGGCTGAGCCCCTGGTAGCTGGGGATGGTGGGATGCCCAACGCCTGGCTCTCTGAGATGACAGTGCAGTGGCCCAGTACACACACCTGTCACCTGAACTGCCATTTGATGCAGCCTGTAGAGAGTCAGTTTGAGCTAAGGATTCCTCAGAAAGAAGATGACATGATGGCACTCCTGACACGGGAGAATTAAAAACGAGATGCAAAAACACCCACAAAAGAATTGAACATAAAGGCACTTTATGAGTGTTAAAAAGGTTTATCATTTCCCACCATAGACATCTGCAAATATTTGTTGGGTGGGTTTTACTTTCCATGAAGACTTAGAAACACGCCACAAGATGGGTGCTCAGAGAGCCTGTGGAAAATTCCAATGGAGAGTTCTGGAGACCCACCCAAGGGTCAGCAGGGGGTCTTTGTTCCATGGTCTCTCCAGGCCACAGCCCCCACTTCCTACCCCCACCATCCCCTCACAACAGGAAATGACCCAGGAAAGACAGCTGTCTTTGGAGGTTAAAGGTGGCTGGCTCCCAACCCTGACTGAAGGTCTACAGGAGAGTAAACATATCAATCACCCACAAGAAACAGTGTTGCTTTTTTTTGGGGGGGGGTGTTTTCTTTTATCCACCATGGCGAGCATGTCTGCATTCTAAAAAGTTATGCTGGAAAGCAGGCTGGTCAGTTAACACCGTTGGCTCTCAGCTACAGATCTTCCATGGCTTTACGAAGACTTCCATCGGATTAAAGAAAAGACCGCATGGACCACATACAGCAGAGTGGCTACATACGAAAACACCTGCAACCAAGACAGATGACCATGAGTGGGCATGCAGGGGGATGGGGCAAAAGCATGGGCTGTCCACATTGGGCGGGCCCCTCACATGGCGCTCGGGATGACAGGCCTGCCCAGTGCTGCCACCACCGCTTCCCACCACTCACCCCACACCCCTCCTTGCTGAGCCCAGATGTGGCCCCAGAGCTCCCGCTGACCCGATGATCCATTGGGCTCGGTGTGCAGGGTCAGCCATCTGCCATGTCACACGATCATGTGGTTGCCACTCAACTGGAAAGGGGGGCCTTAGAGGCGGGAGAGTACCAGGCACTGCCCATGGAAAACTCCCTGCCCCCCACCAGCTGGGACCCCAGCAGCCTTGGCACGTGGGTTTGCTGGCTCTAGTGAAGGTCTTGATGCTGCCTGGACCTCCTCAGGCCCCATCAGAATTGTATTCCATGATTCTTGATGTCACAGAAAGTGAGGGACCATGACACCAAGGAGGAATTTTGAGCTTTTGCAAAAAAAAGGAGGGAGCTTACTGAGAGAGCCACTTTGGCGCTGGGAATGGAGGCCCTGGGCCACTTCGCAGCTGTCATGGCCCTGATGGCTGTGCTCACTGGGCACCATCTGTTCCTATCAGCCCACTCCAGTGGCTGGCCTCCCCAAAGGCCTACCTGCCCCCTACTCAGCTGTCTGCACCTGGCTTTGTGACTGTGGGCGCAGGCCAACAGTTTCCAGGCCAGACACAGCACTCCAGGTGGTCACGCTTCCCTGACTTTGGAAAATGCCCGTAAACAGTGGTGACACCGTGCTGGTCTGTCCCCACCTCCACACATGGGCGAGCCCTTCAGCCTCATTGGCCAGAGGCGATGAGTGAGCAGAGTTACTTAATAACAAACATAAGACAACTCATCCGGGGACTCTTAAGTGCCGTGCCTGAAACCAGCAGTCACATCTGAGTGAATAGTCCCCCAAAACACCTCCCTTAGCAGCGGAGAGCAGGTCACCATCCGGACAATTCCAGACCCGGTGAGAACATTCGGCAGAAGCACCGTGGAAGTCCCCATGGGAACAGGAAACAAGGACTTCTTTTCCAAGTGAGGCCAAGAAATGACACATTGGGGACAGACACTGATAGATAAGGACATTAAGGGACATTCTTGAGCTTTCAGAAACCCCTCTCCCTAAATGGCTGCCTTTAGTGCTCCCCACAGACCCAGAAACCTCCAGATGTCTGCAGAAATTTCCAGCTACCCTCAGTTAAGTCCAGCAGTCCTGGGGTCCCACAGGCCAGGGGTCCCCTCCGAAGGGCAGGTTGTGGTTGGGTAGGGTCTGGGGCTGAGTCCTGAGTAATCGCGACTCCTGCCTTGTGCCCTGGTGCCACTGATACTTGGCATAAAAAGGCGTGACTTTACATGGAACTGGGCTTGTTTCATGTGGTAGCTTTGGCCTAGGGCGTCCGCCTGCGGAAGGCATCTTGGGCTTCTTCCTGGCACTGCTGACTTTGCCTGGGCACACCCATGGCACTGCAGCTCAACTAACAAAAATGTGGGGACACGTGGCAATGAGAATGAACACCGCACATGTCACCCAACCGTGTGGCTGGCCTCACAAGCCTAGGGCTGAGAGAAAGGAGCCGGGCATGAAAAAAGCCCATTTATAGGGAATTCGAAAGCAGGTGGACTTGAGCCCAGCAGCTGGAAGTTAGGGCAGGGGCTATCCTTGGTGTGGATGCACAGTGATGGTGGCAGGACAAGAACAGGGCCCTGGGAGCTGCTCATTCTGCTCTGTTTCATGGTCAGGATGCTGGTCACACAGAGGAGTTCACTTTGTGGAAACGCATCAAGCTGTGCACTTGCCCACTTCTCTGGGTGTATGTTGCATTCTGGTAAAAACGTCGGAACACGGTAGAGACCAGTGGGTCTCAACTGGAGGCCTGTCTAGCTGGCAGGGGTGTGAATGCCCCCCATCTGGGTGGCTCCGTCAAGTCACTGGCCACATCCCGGGTCTATGTCTCAGCTGTTGTCCGCAGCGGTTTTACAAAAATGGTTGCCACATGCCCTGCTGATGTCTGCCTGGAGAGATGGCTTCTGGGTTGGGGTGCAGGAGGTAGGAGGCTCTCAAGGTCAGGGGGAGATGACACAGTGTCATTTGAAGGGTGACCAGCCTCCCAAGGGAAGAAAGAGTAACCAAAGTGCTGCCTGGTTGTGCTGCTGTCTACAAACCAGCCACCTGGGAAGATGGGCAATATGAGAGCCATTCCTCACTGTGGGACAGTGAAGGGTGCCAGGGACTATGAGGTGGCCATGTTTATGAAACTGGGGAGGAGACTAAAAGCTTAAGGGGAGTGTGGAGCTTCCTCAGGGAAGGGGACAGGCCCATAGGACCAGCAGGCAAGGATTTGAGGGACAGACCCCTTTCTCTGGGAGCAGGAAGAGCACCCTCACCAAACCCCTTCCCAGAGCCCAACACCGCCATCCCAATTGGTTTCCTCTTTGGCAGCTGGAGCTGGCTCTCATCACATTTGCGTAATCCATGGTCGACCACTAGAAATCTGACAAGTGCTATTTCTGAACTGTTGTCTTATGTTTTAAATGATCCCCATGGCTTGAAACTCATTGACAATATGAATAAGCACGTGGGACCCTGGGAAAAGTATTGTGAAACAATCTGTTCTCAGCTCCCTGCTGTTCTCATCTTTTTCACTAAAAGGACCTTACCATCCGTCCCCTGACAGTCTGACTCTGTCGTCAGACAGTGTCCCTGTTAGAGCTCAGATACCTGCCCCCCAGTCACACACAGTGGGCGCCCCCACTTGTCCTGCTGATAGGCTGAGGGCGTGCAAGCTCTTGTCCCACCACTGCTCACGGGGAGGCCTCGGAGGAAGTCGCTTACTATGTCCGTGGTCCTCCAGGGAACCGGACGGGATTTTACAGATGAACAAGCCAAGGCTTCGAGGCTGCAAGGGACCTGCCTGCACAAGGTCTGTGACTCTGGCCCCTCCTCCTCCCACAGGGGCTCAGCTATCAGGCAGGAGAGAGCGTCACATCATGAAGGCCTTCGAAGCAGCAAACACCCCCAGAAAGGGGGGTCTGGATGTGCTGGGTGCCCTAGATGCCCTAGAGCCAGGGTCTGGTGACACACTGGCCGCTCGATTTTGCCCCCTCGACATCAGTCATCCCTGGGCTTGACTGTCTTCCATGGCAGACTAGCCGCTCAGTGACAGCCCAGAGACCCGAGTGGCCGGACACAGCTCCCAACTGGTGCTGGGTGTGGGGACGGAGCACCTGGCCCGGACCCCAGGACCCCCAATGCCTGTGGTCTCGGAGCTGTCCACACTCGGTGCTCCGGTTGTCCATCCGTGGAGCGGGTGCAATAACTGCCTACGTCCTAGGGCTCCTGAGACTGTTAAACAAAATTGTTCCTGGAGACTTAGCCCTCATGTCTCCTGACACATCCGCCCTCCACACAGCTCCCTGGGGAAGGAACCCTGGGCAGCGCAGCCCTGACTGATGGCTGGGGGTCTTGGGCACGTCACTGCCCTTCTATGGGGCTTTGCTACTTCAGAAGTAAGGGGAAGATTTACTCATTCAAACCTTAGTGAACTAAGAAAATTGGGGGGGAGTTAGGGGAGAGATACCGGACAGCCTTCAGCCTGACTGGTCAGGGTGGCGGGAGCTGTAAACACACAGGTGGATGGGACTCACCACAGCGGAGATGTTCTCATGGTACTGCTTGTAGGTGAAGCCGTTGTGCATCTGGATTGTGGCCAGGGCTTCCAGGACTGAGGCGCTCAGGTAAAACAGGGCGGCGGTGCAGTGGTAGGCGGCATCCTGCAGGGTCAGAAGGGGCGTGGGGGATGGGCCCCGACATGCAGACATGGTGGCTGTGGTCTAGTAGGTCCTGTCCCAGCCCAGCGGAGCTCAGGTCCCTAGTGCCCCATCCGCCCATCACCACAGCGGCCAGCCACCTCCCCCCAGACTGTCTAACCAGCACTGCCCAGCGCACTTTTCTCTCCCTGGATTTGAGAAGTGTCACACTTGGTCACAGTTCTGGTTTGGATGTGGCCTTACTGGCCAGTACAGGGCAATAGAGGCCCAGGCCATGTCCACTGTTGTTTCATTGTTCGTTTTTTTAGGGGGAGGGACCTAGGTGTGTTTAAAAGCAAAGAAGGAGTTTTGAGAAGGTGTAATTTGGAAGTGATTTTAGTTTCAGTAAGAGGCCTTTTGATAGTGAGAGGCCCAGCCATACGCACCCTGCCCCCCTTCCAGGTAATGGGCCCCAAGGCAGAATTTATACAGATTGGACACACAGGTCATCCCTCTCCCCTCTCCTACTACATCTCTGGTGACCTTGCTTTAGAAAGTGTGCCTGGGAGCTGGGCAGTAAGCATGGCCTCACAGTGGGCAACCAAAGACAGCTCCCAGGACCAGATAGAAACCAGTCCTCCTAGGGGAGCAGGGGGGATGGGAGGGGCCAGCAGGCACCTGGCAGGGCTGGGCTGCTGGTTATCCGTGAAGAAGACAGTCACTCAAGAGAAAGCAGAGCAGGCCGTGACTATCAGCCTGACTATCAGCCTCCTGCTCCTCCCTCCTGTCACCTGGCTGCCTGGCCAGCTCAGAGCTGGAGGCCTTACCAGCTCGGCCTTGGAATGTCTCTGGGGCAGCCTCCCAGAGGACGGGGTCCAGCACTGCTTCCCTGAGACATGCGGGGCTGGGACTCACCAGGGTGACCCAGGAAGCCTCCCCGCCGTGGGCGCCAATTATGTACAGGATGAGCAGGACAGTGGTGGCCACGAAGCAAAACACAGACACGAACATCACCCAGCCCTGGATCAGGGGCACGGGCACCAGCGACGAGGCGACCAGGATCCACACCAGGCCCCCGAAGACCTGCAGAGGGGGAGGAGGGGTGATCTGAGGGGGGCCCAGACCAGAGGCCACGCTGGGCAGGGGACAAGAGGGGGGCAGGGACCAGCGGTGGGCAGTTTCCTTGCCAGGAGTGACTCCCATCCCCACAACACTCCAGCTGGATCCTAACTCAGTCTGCCCAATTCCCTGTTTGCTTGCCTTTTCTCATTTCAAAAAATATACAATTGAAAATTTTCATTTAACAAATGCTTAGATCACATTTACTCGTATTTGCCAGCCAGTGTCCTAAGAACTTTAAAAATATGAACTCACTTAATCCTCACAACCTTATGGTACTGACCCAAACGGGGAAACTGAGGCACAGGACGTTAGGTAACTCATAACCCCAAGAAAAGACTTACGTCATTCAGCCAGTATCATTAGAAGGGTTGTCCTTTATTCTGAGGTTATACCCTTCATACTACTTTGATGTTAAAATATCCTTTCTTTTATGAAATGGTAGTGGCCAGCAAAATAAATTAGTTACACTACATCATTACCATTGTGTTTTTTTAATTTGGCCCCTGAAATCCCCAAGTCCAGGAGGTACTCTGACAACTGGAGTCTGGGCTGGAGTGGAGAGGGGTCCAGGTCAGCCCAGTGTCCCCAGGTAGCCTAGTACAGGCATGAGAGAAGCACTTCCTGTCATACTCCAAAGGACACCCTCCTTGATGTCCGCAGGGACAGTGAGCCCCCTGTTTTCAAAGAGGTCTTGTGGTCAGTAATGCCCCTCAATGCCACAGTCCCACTGCCCCAGGGACAAGTGCGCACAAACCCACGCTGAGATTTTCTGAACATCTTCCCTTCTCCCTGTCACCCTGCATCCCAGTGACATCAGCTCAGCCCCACCACCGCCCCCATCCAGACAAGATCTGTGCTCGCAGCTGGACATGGGTGAACATGGCTTTGCAGTCAAAGGCTCCAAGCTACTGTGGTGCGTGGCACCATCGTCGTGAGTATCTGGGCCTCTCGTTCCCTGATGTCCATGCTGCCCCCTTGCTGGGTAAGCCCACTGTCCTCACAGGTGCTCTCTGAGCCTCCAGGCTGAAAGAATCACATTGGCGGGGAATCAGTGCAGTAAGGAACCCGGACGTATCAAAACCAAGCTGGGCCTAATGAATCAGACGTGGGCCTCTGTGCCCAGAAAGCTTTCTTACTGATGAACCTGAGGTTGCCTGAAGGCACATGACAGAGCCAGGAGGACGCACTTTACACCTTATAAGAACTGGAGCAAAATCACTTAAATACAAGTCCTCAGACAGCCACAGAATCAAATGTGTGTGCAGATTTCTCCCAGGACATGGACTTGGGAGGCACCAGAGTGCCACATGGAGAAGAGGGACAGTCACATGCTGGACACCCCTCTCCTAAGCGCCCTCTGTCTGGGCACCCGGTTACCATCCCAGGGGGACAAGTCTAAGTCAGTGACAGGCTTTAGAGAGCCCTGCACTTGTTCTTTGCAGCACTGAGCACAAAATGGGTGTATTTGGTTAGTGACAAAATGGCACTTTCCCTGACCAGGTGATGGATGGGGTGAGGTCCCCCTTGCTCACCACTAATCCCAGGGGTGGGACACTTGTCCAGCATGCATCAGTGTCTGAGCTAGTTAACTGGCCTCAGGGTCCTGTGGTAACCTAGAGCCAAGTGCGACCCAATCCCAAAGAAACAGCGTATGATACCCGTGGAGGGGAACACACTTGTGATGTAACTTGTGTGGACCCCATGAGGTGCTCGTATGTGGCCCATGAACAATGGCATTGAGGAACACTGAATGTCACATTGGGAAGACGACTCTTTTTCACTGTCTGGCTTTTCTGACTAAGGCAAGGAGACGGGCTCAGGGCAGGGCCAGGTGTTTGGGGCTCCCCTGGAACACGGGCTCCAAGGGCGGGCGGGCAGAGGGGAATGGATGACATTTTTTATTTTCAAGGCAGTGATATACTTATAGTTGTTCTGGAAAAAAATTAACTGTAAAATACATATGAGGTAAATGAATACACATGTGGTCCCTGGCAGTGACAACCGAGAAGATGGCTCTTACATCCTGATCTGTAAGCCAGTTAACTTGGCCTCTTCGTCTCCATTCTTCCCCACATGGCTGGGTAAGGGATCAAAGGCTGGCCACATAAGGTCACAGTGAAGTCACCACCCTGAATGCTTGCCATGGAGGCCTGAGCATGCACTTGCTAAATGTGGCCACAACTTTGGCACCCAGCTCCCCGCACCCAGGGGCAGAGGGAAGCTTCGAGGTTGACCCAGACTCCAGACCTGCTTCAGGTGTGTGCTTTTACCAGTCTGACTGAGAGTGCACTCCTGCTCCCTAGAAAATGCCTCCCCCCCCACCTCCCGCCCTCCCT